TAACAAGCCAATACATGCGATCATTTAGGATTAATGAAGAAGCCATTGTACGTCCAAACTTCACGTATCAAACCTCAGTAAATGCGTGTTTCCCCCTGTCTAATCCACGTAGTGTTCAGAACATCCATTACACGCCACGTGATATCAAAAATCTGGACTTGTCTTTCTTAAAGCGGATATAGATCCTCATAGATTATATATATTCTAAGCAACTTTGTTCAAACTACAGTTTAAATTTAAAAGAACGAAATTCTTCATTCGGTGACACTCGACCCCAAAGGACATAGCAATATTATGCGGTTCAATCCGTTTTCGTTTTATACCATTCATGTTCACATTAACCAGGAAGTTATTTAATGAAACTGGTTGTGTGATGTTTAGAGCGATAGGATTTGTCACCATATCAGTCTTATGTAATGGTTATAGGATTTTTAACGCACCACTTGTTTTCTTTAAACAAAGGTTTTTTATTGCACTTGACAGTTCATGGACGGCGGATATGTGACAGTGGGCGATATGGCGATCAATAATAGGAGTGGTCGAAACTGTAAACCACATGTTTCACAATTCAATGTAAATGTAAACATAACATAGTGTGTTATTTATGCTAGTTTACGCCTAAAAGCTCTATTGCCAAGTAACAGTTCGATCTAGGCGTGAATTGCTCTAGTATGTGAGTTCTCAAATTACAAACAATGTCACCTCCCAGGTGCAGTGACCTGGGTGTCTACCGGAATAAATTAAGGGGTGAAACAAGGACTGGTCGGTTAGAAGTCAGCATACTGTCGGACTGAGGAATGGTTTCTCATGGAACTATCTCTAGCACGCACGCACACACACACACTAAACACATACGCACACACACTCTCTCTCTCTCTCTTACTCTCTCTCTCCGTCTCTCTCTCACACATACTCTCTCTCAGACGCACTATCTCTCTCTCTCACTCTTTCTTTTTAATCAACCACAAGGACACAATTTAAGTAATTTGCTTGTACACTGACAATAATACATATCATACTTGATGTTATATTATTCATATTCACAGACTCCAGTCATAGTTGGCCTGCGGTCATGTACACGAGACACATAGAATTATCATAACAATTACAATACGTTATGTTCTATTTTTTAAAGCTCAGAACTTTCGAGGATACTATTTGACAATAGATCTTAATCAAAATTTGTGTTTCTTTATTTTAAAGATTCATAACCATATTTGGCTAAATATCTTCGGCTTCAATAGTATCAGATGTAAATAACTGATCAGATTCCACTTACACCAAGGGTCAACTACAAAATGAACAATATACTCTCTGAATACAATATACGCAATTTCACACCCATAATGTACTACTTGTAACTCATTTGTGACAAATGTTTCGAGACATGTTTTCACATGTTAATTCTCTAGAACTGCATATGCCTTTAGTCCAGTTTCGTGTGATATGTTCATGACTGGAGTCGGACTATAGTAAGTATGACTGTTTGAAAACTCCGGTTTTGTCAATAGAGATGGTAGTCCCGGTTTGGAACATTAATGAACATGGTTGTCAAGTTCTGAATGCAAACCAACAGCCGTTTCACTTAGTTGGTTCGTTGTCACCAGCAAAGGAAAATGAAATTTCACACTAACACTATGGCTGTTCGTGAATGCATCATTTCCTGCAAACGTGTCACCTCCCAATCAAGGAAAATTACAGTGGCGACCTGACTTCACCTCCAGTGAGACGAATATTGTGCCATACATCTGTTGATGTTCGTCGCATGTTATAACATTATTGGTTGACACATCTTTATAGACTTTCCTCCAATACTGAATTATTAAATTTGTGAGATTGAGTGAAGGGGCATACAGACAATACTGCATGACACTTTAACACTTTTCGCAAATACTTAGTGTCATCACTAATCTTTTAGTGGCCATCTAATGTTGTTGCCATTTATGTCAAAGGGAATCTGTTGATCAGATGGTTCAGACTGAGTATTCTCTAGCGTTGTTGTGTTTATATCAAGGATACTTACACTGTATCAACTCGGATTCTATAAGCACAACATGTCTCTTGGTGGGGTCTCACTACAGAGTGTATTTATACGTTACACCTAAAGAATATAATTATATGACCTGTTATCCACTAGATGCTTTTTTAGAATACTTGAGCGAGAAACTATTGACTGTTGATTTTAAGACACAATGTCCCACGAAAGATACATTTGATATTAAATTTCTCATTTCGTTCCATGAGACAATTACCACCACTGAGATCTCTTAGGAAAAAGACAACAAACAAAATAGGCTTTCCTATCGGTACTTGTACCATTTATTTGTGTATACGTGTTTTAAATGTGGATACTGGTCATAAATGGTCATAAATGCTAGGAAACTGAGGCATGCAATGTTAAAACATGTCACCATTGACAAAGAAAAACCTGCTCTGAAAATCATGTCAGACATACAAACTTATTATTTTTTTTCTTGTTTGTCGTCATTACATTTATTGCTTTTTGTGACCCTTTGTAGAATTATGAAATAACCATTGTGGTGGAAGACACGCTATTGTATAATATGTATACCTTTTGAGATTATCACAAGTTTGGTTGGCCATTGGTCAGGAGACTTTGTCACAAATGAATGCACATATTATCTTAAGCTTATTGGAGTATTAATATGTGAAATAGTGGACTTTTACTGGACATCATAGATAACATCGTTAAGGAATTCGGAAATCAGATGTTTAGGCGAGAAGTAAGCATACCTTCCTTGTTTTAACCGTATCGGCAAAATCACACAAGGCAATTCGGCCAAGAAGTTTACCTGACGTTTCAGGTACATGGATGACCTGATATCGTTCAAAAAAGGTCAAATAGCTTGTCCCCTTCCATCTGATTAAAGATTCAGAGTGATGCAAAATATAGCCATAAGTTGTATAGTAACAGTGAATAAATATAAATCCAAATGCAAATATTTTCTAAGAAATGAATTATCAAAATACCGTTCATAGTATAATGCCATGTATTGTGAAACAACAGGATATAAATATAGTTTCTATAAAATTCATCTTTGATAACAGTTATTTGACATCTTAGACCATATATTATATAGCACTAGTACAGAGATCACAACTGGAAATAACTATGTCCTGTGAAAGATTTAGGCCATTTCGTAACTGAGTCTTCGTTAAAAGCCATATAATGTGTAAAGCCATATTAAGATGTCATTACAAAATCATGCTAGGTGGCCAATGGTCTGACAGAGTACACGTGAGATCAGTAAAATTCTTTAAATTCGAATTTTCAATGATAGTTTCAACGAACAACTTAAAATGTCATTGCCAATTAAAACATCATCAACAAAGCAAAACATATCATTGACCATATTATAGTAAAAATCTTTGCAATTTTGTCACCAGTGAATGTTTGAACATAAGGCGTGATAACATGCCAACAGCGGTACAGCGGTCAGTTTGTGCATGTTCAGCTATCATGTTAATCTGTATTGGTCTCACCTTTGGATGCTGTACTAAAAGCATTAATTGACATATAATGTGAATTGTTCACTGTATATGATGACTTGACACAAACATGTAATATAATGCACACACAAGTCCGCCTATTACAGATGATATCTATTATATGCACACACAAGTCCACCTGTTACGCATGATATCTATTATATGCACACACAAGTCCAACTGTTGCACACTCCTCGTGACTGCACATGTGATCCCGTTCATGCATACTCAAGTCCATGTAGCTACACATGAGACCTCAGGCATATATATATTCACATTTCAATCTGTCTCATACACAATATATCGTGCATGCATGTATACACAAGTCACACACATGACTCTACCGTGTGCGTACAAGAGTACATCAGATACACACATGGAATAACATGCACACAAACATCCACCTAAAGCACACATGGATTCTCATGCACACGCAAATCCACCTGAAGCACACATGAAATCTCATGCACACACAAATCCACCTGAAGCACACATGAAATCTCATGCACACACAAATCCACCTGAAGCACACATGAAATCTCATGCACACACAAATCCACCTGAAGCACACATGAAATCTCATGCACACACAAATCCACCTGAAGCACACGTGAAATCTCATGCACACATTAATCCATCTGAAGAACACATAGAATCTCCTGAGCACACAAATCCACCTGAAGCACACGTGAAATCTCATGCAAGCTGAAATCCTCTTGGTATATCATGCATACACATGTCCACCTGAAGCACACATGAAATCTCATACATACAAATGTCTCCCATGCATACACGTGTCCATCTGACACGCACTTGGGTCCTGATATATAAATTGACAGAAGCTCCGTCAGAAAGTAAACAAAGAAGGATTGACTTTCATGAAACCAATCAAAATCATTCAAACACAGATTAGTTATGGTGTGGGTTGGGTTCACTCTTATTTACATAAACATTCAGACGCCGGGATAGCTTATTGAATGTAAGAGGCATAACCTGTGCAATTCTTGGGTTCGAACTCAAGATGCTGAAACGGTTGTGGTTTCTATATACTTGTTAATCAGTATGGAAGATATGTCCTTGTATTGCTTCTTAAATGTGTCCTTGGTCCTTAGGCCATGGGTTATATCTTGAAAGCTAACAACAAGTATACATGGTAATGAATAGTGTTACATATTCAATCACTTAACGTGATTATCGTTTCCTGCCTATTAGTTCGAACCCAACTGAGGTCTTTTTAAATTGTTTCGATGACAACCACATTGCAATTTCCAGTTTCCTACATATGCCCATGCTCGTTTGAAGAGGCTGACGATAGTCATTCCAAAGCCATGTGTCATAACATAGATGTTTTTCACAAAGTGATTCAACATTATCCTAGCTTCAACGATCAAACCATAAACCTTAATGTAAGCGTTGATCGGAAACATAAATAAATCAACAAACAGCGGTGTTATCTCTTCAGCAAGACATGTTAACAATTCCAAACATACATGTCTTGAAATATCCAAAAGAGATCGCCCCAAGCCACTGAGTGCAGAACGACATCGTCTTGACATCGACCATCCTCCTCGGATGCTTCTTACTGTGAAGGTCTTCACAAAGCGCGGCATCTTCCACAGATGCAGCAGGAGGTGTTTCACCTTCCTGCCAATGTTTGTCTGTCGTGTACACATCTGTCTGTCAAGAATGACCATACAGAACATGAGGCACGCGTAGAACAACAGGCAACCAACCAGGAACACAATCAACATCCTCAGCTGACTTAGGTCGCCTGCAAGAAAAAGACAGTGTGTGTTAAGCACAATCAACTGTTTGTCCTCTGACTATACACATGTACTGATCAATAATTCATTGAAACGGGTTTTGTGAAACTTCAATTTATCTGTGTACTTACCTCTGTAAGTGTGTTGTGTTAACAGAGTAACGAACGTATGTCACTCTCCGGAGGTATTGGAGGAAATACAGATCCTTCATTCATACATGCATGCACGCACACACACATACATGCATGCATACATACATACATACATACATACATACATACATACATACATACATACATACATACATACATACATACATACATACATACATACATACATACATACATACATACATACATACATACATACATACATACATACATACATACATACATACATACATACATACATACAGTTATTGAATTGCATCCTAACAACAGAGAGTAGGTGGAGATTGAAAGAGAGAACGCAAAATTTATGTTTTGCGGGTGCAATGTACCTAGGATATGATGTTTTATTCCAAGGAAATCGAAACTGGAGAAGCGTATCTCGGACATGAAGCCTTGCACTGTATGGATCTCCATTGCCCTCGGGCCTCTGTTTCTGGAACTGTTTTTGAAAAAAAACATTCACTGAATATAGACACATGTGTATACATTTTCCAGGATCAAAGTTACATTCTATATGCAAACCCAAAATGCACACAAAACACATTGAATATTTGCTACAGTTACCATATAATTTAGCAAAATGGATTGTAAAATTTAGAATGTCAAACAATAAATTGCCAATGCAAAAGGGTTGATTGCAAAATAGTTAAAAATCACAAAGACCTAGTTCTTGTGTTGGTGATGAATTCCATGTTTTACTTCAGTGTCCGTCTTTATAAAATCTAAGACTGATATATCTTCCTAACTATTACTGTAAATATCCATCTATTTCCTGATTTCTTTATGAACTGGACCCATGAAGATCCGGGTTAGAATTGATCTTCAATAGCCCATGCTTGCCGTAAGAGGCGACTAACGGGGTCGGGTGGTCAGGTTCTCTGACTTGGTTGACACATGTCATCGTATCCCAGTTGCGTAGATTGATGCTCATGCTGTTGATCACTGGATTGTCTGGTCCAAACTGGATTATTTACATACAGCCGCCATATAGCTGGAATATTGCTGAGTGTAACCTAAAACTAAACTCACTCACTCACTCTTAATGAACTGAATGAATGATCCTACTTCACAGATGTAAGATGGTGCAATCAAGCCACAATCTATTAAAGGCAGTTTGAATACATTTTCACCATGTTTATGACATAATAAAGCAGGCATAATCCATAGACAACAGATGTATTCAACTTTAATGAGAGGCTATTACAGTATCATACAGAGGTTGTGTTCATAAACAGTCTTCAACTTGTTAAAAATTAAAAACTCTAAAAATAATAGTTGTGATTTAATTGGGATGCATCATAACATGATTGCCTATTTAACGTATCAGTTACAACCTACATTTACATCACGAGAACGATGATCAGTCACGAAAAGGATTTGTGTTACTTCTTTTGAACCTGGTAAGATACAGGTGACTTCCTTCCATGTTATATGAGGCAATTAGTGACTAGATAAAATAGCACACAAAACAGGTCACATGCAATGCCAATCCATTAATGAAGACAACTGCACACAATAAGTGCAGTCAGAATTTAGCATTCATTCTTCAAAAGTGAAACTTGCCATATCAGTGTATATTTCATAAACATGGATATATACACAACAGAAAAATGCGTCTGTGGGGGTTGTTATGCATTGCTTATTCAATCTAACTGGTTCTAAAGAAACTATATGCATTGTAAATCCCTTAACACAGACATACCATTACAAGACCTATTTCTAGCACAAATCGAGCAGTCATAAATATTCGTACCTTCCAAAATGATTTCTGAACCGAAAGTGGGGAATACCCTGGCCGCCACGTTGAAGCCCCGCACAGAATGGTAGCCTTTAATGCCATTTAAAAAAAAAAGATATTTCTTTAGTAATCATGTAACATGTATGATTATATTTTGAATATTAAAAGAGCAATGCTCTAGAATGTGAATAACTTCTTGTTGTGTTTTTTGTTGTTGAAAAAATATTTTTACTTTTTTATCAAGGCAGCAGCTTGAAATAGTCGCCGCTGAGAATCAATAATCAGGAATGGCTGAATACTCTGGGATGATGCCTAACTGTGTCAGGCTGACATCGTGGGCGTTAGGTATGGCTGTAACTGATGCAGACCACACAGCATAGCAGATGTATTCTGCTAATGTATATTCCAGGAATAACTATACTAGTTCCAATAGGCGTACATCCTGATTGATTGATTGTCTGGCTGATCGGCTATTTGATTGACTGATTGCTTGATTATGTGATTGTTTGGCCGATTGCCCGATTTGATAACCTGATTGATAGCTTGATAACTTAGGTAGGTAGGTAGGTAGGTAGGTAGGTAGGTAGGTAGGTAGGTAGGTAGGTAGGTAGGTAGGTAGGTAGGTAGGTAGGTAGGTAGGTAGGTAGGTAGGTAGGTAGGTAGGTAGGTAGGTAGGTAGGTAGGTTGGCAGGTAGGTAGGTAGGTAGGTAGGTAGGTAGGTAGGTGTAGGTAGGTAGGTAGGTTGGCAGGTAGGTAGGTTGGCAGCAGGTAGGTACGTAGGTATGTTGGTAGGATGGTAGGTAGGTAAGTTGGCTGGTTGGTTGGCTGGTTGGTTAAGGTACAACGGTCATAACCGATCATTTAGTCTGTGTAGTGTTTGCTCTCTCTATAAATTGTTGGCGTGTGTACGTGAAGATGCAGTAAATGACGTACACATTATGAAATATGCCGTAATTCCATATTCCCGTTATCCGGGATAATTTCAACGTCATCATGTATTGTAAGCGAAATTATAACCACCTGTGATCACTTGGAACGGAACCAACCGATTACCGAGTTTCGCTGTATGTTGTCACACTTATCAACCACGTGACAACACACTGAAAACGTCCTGGCACATGTGTTAAATGCTAAAGTGTATTACTTTTCATGGATTAAATGGCAAAAGCGTATTACTAAACGCAGGAGCACATGGATAAATCATAAGCTTATCCAACTGCTTATGGTAAATATCCAGTAATATATATTCATTCTGTAAGACTCATACTTTACAAATATTCAGGTAATGTCAGCACACAAACGTTTACATTATCCCATTTTTAAAGTAAATGATATAAGTACCGTGTTTTGCAATACAGTAGATCCTGCTATTGGAAAAAGCGTCTTGAATAGATGAAATGGGTTTGTGGCCTATATCTGATATAGGGGACTTACCTTAGTAACGATCAAGCATAACATTTAGCATACCTGGATGTTTCAACTATTTCAAAGAAAATTCAATTTGAGTGATATGTTCAGTGTAAAGATTAATGGAAATTATATGTTGTCCATAGTAATATATATTTTTCAACAACGTGTTGCATAAAGTGAGATGCTGAGGCATTTTGCATCTGTGAGACGTGTCAATGCCTGCGTTAGTAAATTAGGGTTAACACCACTTTGCACAGTTTTTGTGTTACAACACAGTCTGAAAGTGTGATGTGAGGTGAAATTCCGAAATGAAGCCACTGTCAAAGGTGTCTGGCACCTACAAGGGACGCAACTCTGCTTAGTAAATTGCGATGCCTCAACTGACTTTCTTCACACGAGTTTGAAGCACCCCATAAATATCACCTATTGCCCCAAAATAGTCCTTGTTCCATCCATATTTTTTTCAGTACTTTTTATTCAGGATCCACAGGGTAGAAACGTTTTTTAGCGTATTTTAGAATGGAACACACAGTGCTACGTTTAAATCTAAATAATGCAAAACACAAATTGAAAACACAAACACAAAAGACAATCTTTATGATTAAAAATAGATGCGTCACCAATTGCAGCTAACAATCTGCTTAATTGATCATTATACTAAGACGCTTTGCTTAAACATAATTAAAGGTGGCAACAGTACTTTATTATGTGAGAGAATATACATTTTCACCAGGTGGTCTAATGTACCCTTTGTTGAATTATTCCTGTCGTTGAAGCTGGCTGAACAATTCGTTGAGACAGTTATGTCAATGTGGATTGTGATCATGAAAAAAGTATGACTTCAGAAAATATAAAGACTATGCAATCAGGATTTCTGAAAGAATGCAATGCAGTACTACATACTACATAAATCATGCGATCTCTCTACACAGATAAAACTGAATGACCGATGTTACGATTATATAACGGCAGTGAAGTAGCTTGATGGTTAAAGCATTATATTAGTAGTAACATTGGTTTGTGCACTTAGAATTTACCAGAGGTATGGCGCATGTGGCGCTTGGCATTGGAATGATCAGTTGCGTCACACTGAGACCCGCCGAGTTAGGGTATGTTTACAAAGATAGGTGTCCCATGAGATCCGAAGATGTTACGACAAAACCTGGAGGCTAGTGAGTAACCGGCTGCTGTTAAAGCCAGACAGCCCTACACCCTACACCCTACACCCACGCCAAACACAGAACGAAAACTGTAAAGGTTTATTTCGGGGTAAAAGTTGGGTTGTGGATTTCCTGTCCACTGAACACCGTTTGTTGGAGGACGCCATTGTCAACATTCATATGCTTGTGTATGTGTGGGTGCGTGTGTGTGTTTATGTGTGTGTGTGTGATGAACTCCGAGTGAACACGACACAGTCATATCATCCTCCATCAGGATCTGTGGAAAACTAAGTCATCGTCGTCAACAAGATCACATTCGCAGGACATTTTTCTGCTGACGTTCATCTAGTAAATTCAAAGAACTAATATTAAGCTGTTTAAACCCAAAATATATTTGATGAGACTGAGCACAATATAAAGTACCTTTATTTTCTCTGGATGTTTCTGTTTTAACTAGAGAACATTAAATGAGAAGATGTAGATGAATAAATTTAAAAAGTATGTAAAGGACACGAAGCAGCTTTATTTCCTAAGTAAGGTTGTAACTCAGAGATTGGACAAGAGGCTACAGATAACGTCGGACGGCAAGATCAACTGCTCTCAGTGCTGCCTCGGACCAACTCTGAAGCTTGTTTGGCCACCAGGACCCGGAGACATGGAAGACGTCATGGTCGGGGAATGGCTTCAGCATGTAATCCCGGGTCTGCTCCATATTGAATCCTGGTTTGAAAAAATGCCAGGATGCCTTATATGGGTATGTGTCCCACAGTTGCATGGCCCCGCCCACAGTTGGAGGTATATCTGCCTCGGGTATTCTGTACAATCTGCTCATGTAGGTGTGTATCCTTTTCCGCACTGCTGTGGTGACTCTTTGAGCTCCTGGCATGCTACCATATATGGTGCTGCCTTGGTTCTGAAGTTCCCGCCAGCTGGCAACACTAGCTGATCCGTCACTGTAAGACGGCAGGTGGATGTAGTAGCCGTTGGTGCCCCTACGCCAGTCGTAGGTGAAGTCGCTGGGCAGATCGCAACGCCCATGGGTAATGTCGGCGTTTCCTCTCTTCCACCATTGGTACTGGTAGGCAAGAAATATTTTCTGAGCCTGGACTGGGCGTACAGCGTTAACCTGCCGGCGGAATTCTCGGCTGAGTCTGTACGGCGCGAAATTCACCTGCTCCACACAATCCTTCTGTACACCTAAGACAACCTTTCTGGCACACACATGCCTCTCTGGATACTGAAACAGTAAGTGATTTAACGTTACAGGCGTACAGGTGTAAATAATCGAGTCTAGACACAGATGATCATCACTCATAGTTACTACTGTTACCACTCTATGAACGTATGTTCTCTCTCTCTCTCTCTCTCTCTCTCTCTCTCTCTCTCTCTCTCTCTCTCTGTCTGTCTCTGTGTGCTTGCTGTCTCTTCTCTCTAAAATCTCTCTCTCTCTCTCATAGTTCTTCAGAGTTAATCAAACATATCACACAGTCATGCGAAAAAAATGTGTATGCCTCAGATACAGTGGTTGTCTAGCTTACTGAAGAAAACATATCACCTTAGTGGGTGTAGTATAGCCATCGACAGTCTGTGTGCAGCGGAATGTCAACTTGTAGTTGCCAGGCCGACCTTGTATAGCCACCAGCTGACGATTTAGGTGAATCGAATGTCTTAAACATGAAATATGACGCCAATTTAGTTGCCTATATTCTTCGAAAGATTACAGTCACTGTTTCAATTTAAATCTAAAATATCTTACCTTCAATAGTTTCAAACCTTTTCCGCCAAGGTTTGAACCGTTTAACACATAATGGTGCCGGTACCTTTTTATACTTTACTCTTACTTTATCTTTACTTTACTTTACATTTCCTTTACCCAACAATATTACTTTACCTTACACTGGACAACATTTTTTTACCGCACACTTGACATACTTACTTTACCTTACACTTCACAACAAAATCCTACCTTACAACTTACACCTGATAATATTACTTTACTTTACGCTTGGCAGCATTAACGTACACTTGACAATACTATTTTACGCTTGGAAAAAGTAACGTACACTTTACTGAACAAATTTTATGCGTAACAACTTCTTGCATAACACCGGACAACATTATTTTAGCGTAGGTTTGACAACATTAACTCACACTTAACAACATTACTTTACCTTGCACTTAACATTGCTTTACCTTGCACTTGCCAGCATTACTTTGCCTTGCACTTGCCAACATTACTTTACCTTGCACTTGACAACATTACTTTACCTTTGACTTGACAACATGACTTTACCTTGCACTAGACAACATTACTTTATCTTCGACTTGACAACATTACTTTACCTTGCACTTGACAAGATTACTTTACCTTGGACTTGACACATTACTTTACCTTGCATTTGCCAACATTACTTTACTTTGCACTAGACAACACTACTTTATCTTGCACTTGACAACATTACTTTACCTTGCACTTGACAATATTACTTTACCTTGCACTTGCCAACATTACTTTACCTTGGACTTGACAACATTACTTTACCTTGTACTTGACAACATTAATTTACCTTGCACTAGACAACATTACTTTATCTTGCACTTGACAACATTACTTTACCTTGCACTTGACAACATTAACTCATACTTTTTGAACAAAATTTATAGATAACAACTTCTTGTATAACACTTGACAACACTACTTTACCTTGCACTCGACAACATTGCTTTACCTGAGACTGGACAGTAAGTATCTGGTGAGGAGTGTTTTAGGCACCTGATCCATGCCATTATCGATAGTTTTCAGGTCAGCGAAGGAATCTACACCGCCGTATTCCAGGAAAATCAGACCTATCAAAGCACCAAACCTTCCTGTAGCGTGTTCCCAGACAAGGGCATCATGTAAATAGTTGTAGGCCTCTCTGCTAGCATAACGAGCTAGGAATTCGTCCATGCTGTAACAGATATACATCAGAAACATCATACATCAGGAGATCACTTCATATAGACAAGTATCTACATTCTGTAACAGACATACACCACAAACATCAGACATCAGGAGATGACTTCATATAGACAAGTATCTACATTCTGTAACAGACATACACCATAAACATCAGACATCAGGAGATGACTTCATATAGACAAGTATCTACATTCTGTAACAGACATACACCACAAACATCATACATCAGGAGATCACTTCATATAGACAAGTATCTACATTCTGTAACAGGCATACACCACAAACATCAGACATCAGCAGATCACTTCATATAGACAAATATCTACATTCTGTAACAGGCATACACCACAAACATCAGACATCAGCAGATCACTTCATATAGACAAGTATCTACATTCTGTAACAGACATACACCACAAACATCATGCATCAGGAGATCACTTCATATAGACAGGTATCTACATTCTGTAACAGACATACACCACAAACATCAGACATCAGGAGATCACTTCATATAGACAAGTATCTACATTCCGTCACTGTTTTCACACAATGCTTTTGAAATATACGGAAAAGACAAAGATTAGAAACCAGTAACGTAATGTCTTTGCACAGATGTTTTTCAACATAGAAAAAATAACTGGCATCTCACGAACTGGGAAATGAATTAAAATAGATCGCTGTTTAACATGAGGCTTGTAACATATGTTATATTTGGGATTACACTGTCTGAGTAAAGTGCACTTTCTAGTTTTGTTGTTGGATTGAGTCCGGAGCCCATCCGGGATTCAAACCCACACCCTCAGAGTCAGGCACCTAATCGCCAGAACACAAACTAACCCGCACACAGCCTAACCCGCTCAGCCACCACTTTCTAAATGGCATTGTGTATTCATGAGGCTTGTATTAATGTTCTGCATGGCCTACGTGATTGTGTATAGCGGCACGCCGTCAGTCGTGTATATCCTGTATATCTCGGACTCAGAAGGGTAGCCATCAGTGCTCATGTTGGTGTACGTCGTGTACAGCCGCCTGGAAGGAAGATTCAGAATAGACTGGGTAAATATACCGCGTGACATACTCAGTCTTAGTGAGTGAGTTTGGTTTTAGCAATATTCCAGCAATATCATGTCAATATCATGACACCAGAAATGGGCTTCACACATTGTACCCATGTGGGGAATTGAACCCGGGTCTTCGGCGTGACGAGCGAACGCTTTAACCACTAAGTTACCCCACCGCCCTACTCAGTCTTAGACAATAGCTACAAGAGGAGCTACATACATGCATTTATGTATTTTGATAATTCAGTCACATTTCAGAATAACATGCTCCAATCAAAACGTAGTCTATTACCGTTTGGAATAGTATATCGCTCGCAATCCGCTGTTGAGGTAAGGTGAAAAGTGGGATCTGTCTTTCAATATATTTTTTCGAAATTGTGATAAGCATGACGTAACACACCAAGGACGAATTTTCTAAAGGCTTCCAAAAGACATTACTTTGGATAAATGCGCATATTTCGAAATAGGTGTGAACAAAATTATTATTAATGACAAACATTAGACCTCGCTGTCATGTCCCTTTAGAAACTGAACGACACCTTTTATAACATTAATAAATACTAAGAGTAATTGTATAACCACACAAGGGCAATGCTCTGACAAGTCACAGGTCATATTACAATAATATACAAGGAATTATGAAACGTAGCGTTTAAAAAAGGTGTGTTTTGAGTCAGGCCTGTTTTTGGAGAGTGGCAGAGAGATCCTACCTAATATGCTGATACCATAAATGGTACATTGATACGTGTTTCGTCTTCAGCAAAATGTTTATTGAGTGAGCATTAAAACGTACAGAAACAAGAATATGTTCAATTTGCCTGAAGAGATATTTACCACAGAAGGTCAAGTGGCTTGAGTCTCTCCTGTGGCCTCAGATTGTACGGCGTCCGTGGTCCACCAAGTTCTTCTGTCCGAAGGTGACGACCACGGAGGTAATACACCGTTTCATTGGGGTTGCCAAAGTTTAAAGGAAAGTCAACAATTCTGAGTCCTAGTTGTCTTGCGGTGTTCACGAGGTAAGTGTGTTCACTGGGTTTTAACCTCATCGCTCCAAAGTCCACAGTCGTCCCGGTAACTGTGGGGATCTCAGCAGTGAACATTCGGCCTCCAATTCTGTCTGAGTATTCAAAAATGGCCATCCTCAGACCTCTGTTCCTCAGACGGTAGCCGGTGTACGTGCCAGCAATTCCCGCACCAATGATGGCTACATCGAGACAGTCCTCTTCATAATTGTCTAAAATGAGATCAGAAATCACTTACCTCACTCCAGATCGTTTTCTTATTGGCTGAGAGACACTCCGAGACAATCTAACGTTTCAAGCTTGAATTACGGAATTATTGGTATTACATTCACAACATATGTATGACGCCATTCTCGCGATACTTACGGCATTCCCAAATGACATTGTATGGGAAATAACGCTAAGTTTGTTTCCTGACGTCTGCTATTCTTCGATTCTTATCTATTTGAGCAGGACAAGCATATAGGAGATCTACCTGCAATGTAAGTATGTGTGTGGAAAGATAGATTCATTGTCCACCGATCACTTAGGTAATACGAGTTGATGCACCTTTATGTAAGTACAATACATTACCGAGAAGGTACATACATGAAAGGTAGATCAAAGCATCTAAACACATAACGTTTACTGGCAACTGATGTAAACCAAAAGAACGATTCCTGGATATCCATGCTGATAATGTTCCGTGGGAAGAGACAAAGATGGCGGACGTACCATGCGGCGGATCCGGCCAGATGCTGGTCACCAGTGGCAATAGTGCTGTCAAGAGAGGATGACGTCACGTGTACATGTTGTATCAGACTGGGTTAATGTTCAATACATCAAAACATTAGCATTTAGAGTTAGTGAGTTAGATGTAACCTATCTTGAACGACGATTCAGTTCTATCGCAGGGTAACAGCTCATTGTGGCAAGAAAACCTCGTCATCCTGGAAGCTATATCTTAACTAAATGAAGACGCATAATTTTCTGAACCTCATCAACGCAACTCATTAACTAAACCCGTCAGCTCCATATCCCTATTTAACTCATCCATCTCCATTGTTCTATCAACAGTAAAGCCCAACGTCAAAAAATAAGAAACTCCACTGATCCTTGCGCTTCAACCGTATATGAGTGAGTGAGTTTAGTTTTACGCCGCACTCAGCAATATTCCCGCTATATGGCGGTCAACCGTTTATGAATCTCGTTGCATTATACATTATGCATTAACTGTCACAAGGTTGTCGGTTCTACACGTATCTACGTTTTTTTACAATAGGGAACACTGGTAAGATATTTAGATAACTGATGAATGTTTGTGTGCACGACGTAAATAGCATTTCAGGGTAAAATCACAAATATTTCAGCAAGTACAATGGCCCAAAATTTAGTAAACCTGCCCTGCGTGCTAGAGAACGCTTGTACTCACAAAAACTCTAGAACTCACAGTAAAACTAGTATTTACATAAACGCTTGTACTCACCTAAACATTAGCTGTGACATGAACACTAGTGCTCACATAATAAACACTAATGCATAAACACTAGCAGCCATATATACACTAGTAATAGCATATGCACTAGTACGGGCACAGACGCTGTAACCAACATGAACTCTGGTACTCACATAAATACTGGTATTCGCATAAAACATAAGATAAACACAGTACTGACATAAACACTGGTGTATGAACATTAGCACTCACAGAAACACTTGTACTGGCATAAACACTAGTACTAACATAACCACTTGCTTCACGTAAACACTGATGCATAAGCTCTAGCACTTACAAAAAACACAAGTACTGGCATAAACACTAGTACTAACATAATCACTTGCTTCACGTAAACACTGATGCATAAGCTCTAGCACTTACATAAACACTAGTACTGGCATAAACACTAGTACTAACATAAAGACTTGCTTCACGTAAACACTGATGCATAAGCTCTAGCACTTACATAAACACTAGTACTGGCATAAACACTAGTACTAACATAAAGACTTGCTTCACGTAAACACTGATGCATAAGCTCTAGCACTTACATAAACACTAGTACTGCGTAAACACTGGTACTAACATACACACTTGCTTCACGTAAACACTGATGCATAAGCTCTAGTACTGGCATAAACACTAGTACTGGCATAAACACTAGTACTAACATAAAGACTTGCTTCACGTAAACACTGATGCATAAGCTCTAGCACTTACATAAACACTAGTACTGGCATAAACACTAGTACTAACATAAAGACTTGCTTCACGTAAACACTGATGCATAAGCTCTAGCACTTACATAAACACTAGTACTGCGTAAACACTAGTACTAACATACACACTTGCTTCACGTAAACACTGATGCATAAGCTCTAGTACTGGCATAAACACTTAGTACTGGCATAAACACTAGTACTAACATAAACACTTGCTTCACGTAAACACTGATGCATAAGCTCTAGCACTTACATAAACACTAGTACTGGCATAAACGCTTGTACTCACATAAATACGAGTACTTACATAAACACAGCCAAAGTTTCATTTCCAAGTCACCAATGCCCAACAGAACCTGCAAGAATGAGGAAACCCGTTAGCAGAACCGTTGGCATCTGTAACTTTTATCGTCCAAAGTAGCATTGTATTTTGGCCGACGTCTGCACACCACACAACATGGAGGCAAACCATGGAGGTGTTCTGACTGAAAATGATCTCCATACATTGCGATCACTGATATTTCCTACACGTATGGTTAATTCTATGTACAGTGGAACCCATTATCTCGAACCTTCTTGTAACTTTGAGGTATCCAGACATTCGAGAAAATAACCAAGTATGAGCAGACAGATGAAGTAATAATGTTATAGTCGTTCTATTTTATGCCCATGTTCACGCATGATTATTACTTCTGTCTTCTTCTTTATTTCTGAAATGTAGGCCAGAGGCCCGTAGTACACGTAAAACCAGTTATAATGGGTGAGTGGTACAAGCGCGTTTGCGTTTTAACAGTGCATGATTATTACTTGTGATTCCCGTGATTTAACAATTGCTATAAATTGCGTTTCATGTTTACAGCTACGTCAAATGTGAGGGACGGTACCACAAACACATACACTTCTCAACACTATTTTGTTGTCACTTTCCAGACACAAAAACAAAATTCTGTCGTAAAGACATAGGTAGGACTGAGTCCTTGATTCGAGTTAGGGTTATGTATTCATATCTCGCATTCGATATAAACTGGGACTTGAGCATTAATAATTACACACCAACTGAATTAAAGGGCATTGTTTAATTTTTTGTCCAAACAGTCGATCATACAGTACTATAAAAAAAGTTTGCCATGAAAAGCATGTGGACCCGTTTTTTTGTAAATATCTCTTCATCCAATGATCCAATCGATCTCAAACTGTGCAAGTGGATGTTTTGTCAGACAACCTAATCACATTGTAAATCACCGATTTTATGCATTTGTATTAAAGAATCTGTCTATGTAACTGTCAACAAAATAAACAGCAGAACGCAGACGGCTTGCAGAGGGAGGGAGCCAATGACCTGTAACAGCAGCAGTGTTGGGTCATAAAGGTCAACGTTCCTCAATGTAGGTCAGCTATGCACGTGACAGGTATGAAGAGGTATCACAGGTCGTGAATAGGGTAAGGTGGGTGCCAACTGTTAACCATCATACGGAGTTTGTTTCTCTGAGTTGTTCAACATTAAACACTAAACCCATTAGTGAGAATTATTCTGTAGGTTAAAATCTTTAAATTTGTAATGTTAATGTCATATTTTGTTTATGCAGTACCTAAGTGGAAATGCATTTAAAGAACACAGAAAGTATATTTACACTAAATCATTAATTGGACCACTTATGGTTAGAACTGTTAAAGCCCCGTTCCCTCGGACACAAGCACACACAATCATGCACACTCATTGAAGAAAAGATAGAATGAAGACAAAAGTGTTATGTTTTGATGTCGTTCACATTCCAAATTAAGCAATGCATTTCTAATAGCTTTAAGCATATAGATAGTTAATATCTATATTTTCATTATAATTTTATGTGAAATGAGTGTTTCATGTTACACTATAAGTCGTTGGAATTAGTCAGTGCTGTCATTGTTAAAAGAAGTTATATTTCTTTGAGCATATCTGGCTGGATACTATTATTATCTGTAAATATAATAACAGAATTAAACATAATCAAGTTCACTCCATTCTTCCACAGAGGAGTCATCAGTGTCCCAGACGAATGACAACTGGATTAACTCTTTGCTCCTCCAAGCCATCTTTGAGCCAGTACTCTTTCTCCACCTTCTTGACATGTTCAACACATGCATGCCAGCGTGCAATGTCAATGTCACATATAGCAGTGTTTACAATGTGCTTGACATCATTCAACTTGAATGATTGATTTTTCCGGGCCACTGTACTGTTAAGGTTTCCCCAGATAAGTTCGATTGGGCTGAGATCACAGTGGTACGGTGGTAATCTCAAGACCTTATGGCCGTGTTGGCGTAGCATGTTGTCAATGTTATATGTGGATGGAGGTTTGTTAGGTTTAATCAAAGAGTACAACTGTGGTTTAGTGGCCTTAATTGAAAATTGTATATTGTTATTTGTTAGCCATTGCTGCATATCTGACTTCTTTGTATTGGAAGTTGGGCACCTATTGTTTGGATCTCGAACACTGTGATAGGGAGCATTGTCCATGACAACAAGACTTTTGTAAGGCAGAGCTGGCAACAATTGTTCCTCAACATACTGTGTGAAAACCGTTGAGTTCATTTTTGTATGATAGTCCCTACCATCTGTGCTCTTTGACCGAAATACCAGATCACACCCAGGTAGGAATCCACGGTGGGAACCAGCATGAAGAACGATTAAACGTTCACCTTTGCCTGTTGGTATTTTCCTACCATCACTGGGATCAGTGGGTAGCCACTGTCTGGCAGCAGTATGGTTTGCATTGACCCAGGTCTCATCCAGATATATAGGTTCGAACCCATCCTCTCTTGCCTGCTTAATTTCTCTCAGATAGTTACACCTTATTTTCACAATATCAGATCTCTCACACATTACAAGTTTCTGGTTTGCTACCTTCTTGTACTTGTATCCAAATTTGAGCAGTAGTTTGCTTAGCATAAACCTAGAAACATTAATGTCGTGATCCTCTGCAAGGATGTGTTTTAACTTTCTTGTGGACAGGTGTTCATTTCTAGCAAATAGCCGGCGAATGACATCTCTGATGACCCTGGTGTCAAAAGAATCTAACTTTGGATGCCTACCTTTTTTGTACAAGGTTTTGTTTATTGGTTGTTGGTTTATTTTTCACAATTTTTAACACGATGTTCTTTTTCATGCCAAGAGCAAAAGTTGTACGTTTCATGTAATCCGACACCTTATAAATCGGTTTGCTACGTTTGCTCTCTTTTTAAAAAAAATTAAACACATTTCTAATGAAACGTTTGGCATCATCTGGATAAGCTTTCATGATGACAGCTAGAAGTAGTCAATGTGAATGATCCAAAGGTCTATCTCTGTGCAGTGCACAGGTAACTATCATGAACTGCACGTGCATTTACCTTTATGACCCAACACTGCTGCTGTTACAGGTCATTGGCTCCCTCCCTCTGCAAGCCGTCTGCGTTCTGCTGTTTATTTTGTTGACAGTTACATAGACAGATTCTTTAATACAAATGCATAAAATCGGTGATTTACAATGTGATTAGGTTGTCTGACAAAACATCCACTTGCACAGTTTGAGATCGATTGGATCATTGAATGAAGAGATATTTACAAAAAAAACGGGTCCACATGCATTTCATGCCAAACTATATATTGGAATATACATGTAAAGCACCCCCTTCACACAATATCTCAAAAGTTATTGATCGCTTGTTCACGTGCTGCGATGTCGCCAAGCTCATTGGAGTAATACATTTCGCAATTGCAGTATGTGCACTGCAGTTTTCTTAACTAATTCAAAATACCACAGTATTAGAAGTGCAGTTTTCCTGACATTTCAGTAAATACTCAATGGCAAGTTATTGGCATGCAAGATGCAGGGATGTCCGCTGGCCACGTCGGTGCTATCTTGAACATAAACCGACTTGAGGAAGCACGTTGCCCCCAGGGAAGTAAAGATGCGAGGAAGACCAAAGATCTTCTTGACCGAGACGTAATTTATCGCAAGGCGCAATACCAAGACCCATGCCGAAGAACTGCGAGAATGGGAGTCCCACCCTGCACCAGCAATATCACAGAAGAAGGTTGCCGGCTGCTGGACTAAGGGCGCGTGGTCCGATATCGGTACATTCGCGATAACGTTGTTCGACTGTATTTGTCAGTCCAGTTACCAGAGGAAGATAATTTCATTACGTTATCACGGAATCATGTTAAGTAGTCAGTCTCCATGTTGTTTTGTATTCTGTTTTGTATTCTCGTATGAAAACATATCTTCAAGTGTCATTTGGAAGTGCTTTTTTTCATAATGAAAACATAGTGTCTTTTGTTGTTGTTGTTGTTGTTGTTGTTGAAAACATTGTTGTTTTGTTGTTGTTGTTGTTGTTGTTGTTTTGTTGTTGTTGTTGTTGTTGTTGTTGTTATTCATGGCCATGTTCATTTATATTCAAGCTTTCTGGCGGGCTGTTTATAAATAATCATTTTAAGTCCAACCCGATCCTGTGGTTGACTTTGTGAGCAACGATCAAATATGTCGGGGGCGGTTAGCCTAATGAGGGCATTGGCTCGTCACGCCGCCAGACCCGGGTTCGAATCCCCACATGGGCACAATGTGAAGCCCATTTCGATCCCCGCCGTGATGTTGCGGAATCTTGCTAAAAGCGGCGTAAAACCAAACTCAGTCAGTTCAGTCAAATATGTTTGTTCAGCCAAATCTTCGAATGTGACCATTCCGCACGTCACGCAATATTCCAGTTGCAATATGGCGGCAATATTCCAGCAATATGGCGGCGGTCTGTAAGTAATCGAGTCTGGACCAGTCCAGTCATCAATAATATGAACATCGATCTACGCAACTGGGATACGATGACATGTGTCAACTAAGTCAACGAGCCTGACCACCCGATCCCTTTAATCGCCTCTTAGAACAAGCATGGGTTGCTGAAAATCAATTCTAACCCGGATCTTCACGGGTCCCACATAGGTTACCGGAAAACTATCTTAACCCGGAATCCTAAAGAGTCCATGACAAGGCGGACTTAAACTTATTTAATACATATTCGATTCTAGTTGATATTATGTAATTAAACGCTGCCGAGAACGTTGAAATCAATGCGCTTAACCATGCCTTGACGGGAAATACATGTTATGTCAAAAGGTAGTACGTTAATATGACAACAAATATTTCCCACACCATTCCCACAATTATGCGAAATCTTCTCATCTATATGATACGTATGATGTGAATCACTATCAAACAGTACTTTGATCAGCGCATCCTGCTCTACTGGTGGCAATCCCTACCTACACATGCAAACATATTGCTTACCTGAAAAACTACAGGAGCATATGGTTTAAAGTGACTATAGTTAAAAAACAGGAAATCGCATCGGGCATCTTTTTGGTTGATCGTACACATATCTCAAACATACAATTATGAAATTAGAAATGAGTAGACTCTATCACTTACCTGGCTGCAGAAGTCGCCTGTCTGTGAGAGTAATGCTCTGTGCAGATCTTTTTTCCAGCCGTGTCACAGGAGGCAGTGTCAAATATACATTTACGTTCGGCTTAATGACTCATCCTGACATCAACTGCACGTTAAAATAATTTATTTTCTAAAGTTTGGCGGACCTGTAAACTAAGCCAAAGGCTAAAGCCTCACCTCTGTAAATGGGCATTATTGGGTATCAGAGACACTGGAGAGAACATGTGAATGTATTTAGATGTCTGCATTTAACTTTCTTATTGGTGGTCCAAGAACAAGCATTTAAATGAGCTCCGAAGAGTTCACAGCCGCTAGGACTGTCTCATGGAGAAGCAAGTATCATCACATCAAACCTGGCCTTAGCAGCTTACTTTGGCTTCCAGTTCGTACCAAGATACACTCCCAACATATCTCGGAATCACATCTGTATTACACTCCTATATATACCAAAACATTTTTCAAGATTTACTTCTGTGATTCGAGCATGCATTGTGTCGGAGTAATGTGCACCATCTAAGTTTATTATTGGTAATGTATGTTCATAATTGGTATTCGTAATCCTAATTACCTCTACCAAGTAACGTCATGTTTTTTTGTGGTTTGTTGTTTTTCTTGTATGTATTCATGCGTTTCTAACATTAAGTGGCAGACGCACAAGGACATGGATCTGTTTCCTTGTTGGATGACAAACAGACACATTATACTGCTGTGAAAAAAAATCATACATGGGATTTGAGGCTTGGCATTCTGCATTTGTCTCTAGTATAGCTTCTTACGTGCAACTAGGGCAATCATATAATACACTTTCTAAAGTACAGATAGAGCAATCATAAAACTTGGCATTCTGCATTTGTCTCTAGTATAGCTTCTTACGTGCAACTAGGGCAATCATATAATACACTCTCTAAAGTACAGATAGAGCAATCCTTAAACTTGGCATTCTGCACTTGTCTCTAGTAGTATGGCTTCTAAAAGTGCAACTAGGGCAATCATATAATACACTTTCTACGGTACAGATAGTAGAGCAATCTGCGCTTGTCTCTAGTATACTTCTACAGTGCAACTAGAGCAATCATAAAACTTGGCATTACTGCATTTGTCTCTAGTATAGCTTCTAAAGTGCAACTAGGGCAATCATATAATACACTCTCTAAAGTACAGATAGAGCAATCATAAAACTTGGCATTCTGCACTTGTCTCTAGTATAGCTTCTAAAGTGCAACTAGGGCAATCATATAATACACTTTCTAAAGTACAGATAGAGCAATCATATAACTTGGCATTCTGCACGTGTCTCTAGTATAGCTTCTAAAGTGCAACTAGGGCAATCATATAATACACTCTCTAAAGTACAGATAGAGCAATCATAAAACTTGGCATTCTGCACTTGTCTCTAGTATAGCTTCTAAAGTGCAACTAGGGCAATCATATAATACACTTTCTAAAGTACAGATAGAGCAATCATATAACTTGGCATTCTGCACTTGTCTCTAGTATAGCTTCTTACGTGCAACTAAGGCAATCATATAATACACTTTCTAAAGTACAGATAGAGCAATCATAAAACTTGGCATTCTGCACTTGTCTCTAGTATAGCTTCTAAAGTGCAACTAGGGCAATCATATAATACACTTTCTAAAGTACAGATAGAGCAATTATAAAACTATCTTTTTACCCCAGTTTACATGTTCTCATGACGAACACTGCAGCAAAAAACAACACATACTTGTTAAAGAATCTATGTTAGTGGTAGGTTGTACCAATTGAGAGGGACATTCGCATCCTTCTCGCCCCACCTCGTGTCAAATACTTCTCCTGACTATTCTACCTTTTTTGACCGATGGCATCAGACATGATCTTGACTATACTGACCTTGTGCACCTTTAGGTACGCCAGCTCAGAGATGGAATGAATCCAACATCAGCACCACTATTCGAGAACATTTATTACAATTTGAACTAATACAGTATTGTACAATTGACGACAGGACACGACATGAAACGATGCTAAACCTGTTTCATTCATGACCAAAACCACGTTTACCGCAGTGATTTGCTCATTTTGAAATAGGAATTTATAACTATTTTTGGATAACCACTTGAGGTGTCGGTTTTATAATTGATACAGTAAGTTAACACTGACATCTCAAACAAAAAGAAAGGTTATAAAAATAGCAACTGAAGGATAAATTTGTTCTCAATTCAATACTTAAAAAATCAATACTTTTACCTGTCGATTCCCTGATTGAAACACAAAGTTAATCTAGAAATGTGTAGGTTAACAGCTGTGTTCTGAAAGTGACTAAGTCTACATATCAATATGAATTACTGCAAAGAAGAGAAACGTCACACGCACACATACGCACACATACATGTTTTCTTCTGGTGAATAAACATGAAATATACTAAATAGATCGTCCAGATAGAAATGTACAAAGCAGCCTTCATACTCAAACTGGCTACAATAATACTGAAATCCAAAGGTACAAAGAAACAGTTCCAAAACGGGGCTGGCAACCTCAATAAGCGCCCATCTTAACAACCATAGAGCTGTTTCATTACAGAGGACTGCAAACAGACTTGAGAACCACGGTGATTGACGAGATGCACTCGTCACAAAACATTTGATGCAGACGCGTGCCATGCTTTTTCGAGACTAAACAAAGCGAAAAAGCCAAATTCACACTACCTGGATACAGCCAATACAGAAAAGACAGAGCAAGACGTATGCCTGGCAACAAGAGAGGATATCAATGAGGACCAACTGTATCTCCATAAATAGCGAATGAAATGTTGGAAACCTTGAAATAATGTCCTTAAAGCTGGCAAATTGCCGTGAATTACGCATATCTAACGTATACCAGGGTTACCCAGGAAACACATAAGGAAGAGTTAAGGAATTCCTCAACTAGTAGGCAAAATGGGATAATCCTTGGTGACTTTAATGCCCACAGCTCTTTATGGGAAGACAGGAACGGATCGTGAAAATAAGGCAATAAAGGTTGAAGACGCTACTGCTGTCCCAAACGGTATATGACCATGCCCGCAGCACACGGAGTCAATTGACCTCACAAATACCAAAGACAATCTTGCCTCACATTACCAGTGAGTGAGTTTAGTTTTACTCCACATTCAGCTATATTTCAGCTATATGGCGGTAGTCTGTAAATAATCGAGTCTGGACCAGACAATCCAGTGAACAACAGCATGAGCAGCGATGTATATACAATTGGGATACGGTGACATGTGTCAACCATGTCATGTGTCAGCGAGCCCGATCACCCGATCCGGTTAGTCGCTTCGGACGACAAGCATGGGTTGCTGAAAACCAATTCTAACCCGGATCTTCACAGGTCCCTCACATTACCAAGTCCATGATGATACTTTGGGAAGCGACCACCTTCCTATACCCGCAGTTTGAGTCCAAACCTCTGCACACGTGTGAGGCTACAAAGGCTGATTGGCCCAAATTGAAAAAATAAGCATGGAAAATGAGAAAGAAAAACCCCAATAGGTCGAAAAGGGATAAATCAGCCTTCGCCCAAGTCCTTGCAGCCAGGACAAATGTAAGACACCTAATCAAAGTGACGAAAGAGCCATGGCCGACTTTCTACAAATCTCTAACTGACAAAACAAAGGCTAAAACAATTTGGAGCCCAGTACGCGCAATCAAGGGTAAGCTAAAACCTACCACAAAAGTCAAGTTAGCCAACATACATACAGACAGACAAAGGCCACTGCTCTAACTGAGCAGTTCTTATCTGTCAGCAGCATAAAATTGCAGCAAAGAATTCAAAAAGCAAAAGAATCAATGCTTATGCCTGAGATATCAAACAGCCGCAAAGCAAGCATCTTCTATACAATATACCATTCACTGTAACATACTTATGACACGCAATACAACATAGAAACTGTACGTACTGCACCTGGTCTGGACACAAGCATTTACGAGATGCTAAAAAGCCTACCTGATCAAAGCAGGAGTTGTAAAACACGATATGACACTTAAAACACTAGCACAACTATGCTATGACTGAAAAGTGAAATTAAAGTAGCTCAAATACGGAGACAATACCAAGCCGCAGTATTTCTGGACTTCAGCAAAGCCTTCGACATGAATCCTCAGAAAACTAATCTCGAGTTGAAGATTAATATCGGAAACTTCCATAACAAACTGCAAGACAGGTCGCTATCAGTTAAACTAGGGAACAGTCAATCTGATCCTATGTCACTTGGCATTGGCATAGTAACATTACAAACCAAACCCTTTTAAAATTATGATATATGATCTGTTTGATCATTGCAACTCTCCTTCCTAAACTTCACAATTTGCTGAAGACTGGCAATATTGGTAAAATACAGATATATTTCACAAATCTGAAAATAACGGAGTAGATAAATAGTGCAATAAATGGAGGTTCACCAGTTCAAGTTCTATTCAAATATCCAAGAATTCTATCAACAGCACTGCTGCTTACAGTTAAAAGTTAACATGCAAACTTCAATATTACAATTAAACACAATCGGTTAGGACAAAGGTTTATTTCAAATAATACATTCAGGGTTTCTAAAGAAAACCAGAACAGATATTCAAGTGAAACTCTCTATTCCAACACGAAACAAGGCTTGACAGGATTAAGGATAAATCAAAAAGGATACTGTCTATTGTGTGTTATGTGTTGCGTAACAAAGGCTGACTGCCAGGATGCCTAGAACAGGTAGGTTAATTATGACAGTGATGGACAACCAAACAGAAATAAAAATAGGCCGTCTGTCAGCTTGTTTTTGATTGCCCACGCTGCTTACTGAAACACAATGGGCCTTGTATCAACGAAAATATGAAATGGCGACACAAGACAGAAATCAATCTCAGTGAGAGTAATCAATGGTTTAGCATGTGATGTTTTCATATATTTTCGATAACACAAACAGTTGTATATTCAATTAGAATTCCCAAACGATTGGCACACTTCACGGGTGGGTGAATCCAGTGAGAGACATCGGGAGCATCGAGCTACGCAATTGGTAATCGATTCAATGCATCTTCCAAGTCAAAGAGCCTGATCACCCGATCCCATCAGTGGCCTTTTACGATGTGAGGTGAGGTGAAATTGGGTTTAACGTCGTGCTTCAGAATATTTCGCTCATATGACGACGTGCATGCGTGTGTATGTGTATGTGTGGCTGCTTGTACTAGCCCAGACTTAAGCTGGTTTTATAGTGCTAGCCCACGGAGATACCACGCCGCAGTGAAGCATGAATACCCTACTCAGACACATTATACTGACTCCGAGCCGACCAGTCCTTGTTGTACCCATTAATGCCGAGCGCCAGGCAGAGACCAACAAGTACCATATGTTAACGTCTTTTGGTATGACGCGGTCGGGGATCGAACCCACAACCTTCCGCTCTCCGGGCGGACGCTCTAACCACAAACATGGGTTGCTGAAGAACAATTCTAACCGGTATCTTCATTAGTAAGAACCCGTTGCAGCTTGTAAATAATTGGATTTGGAAAAGAAAGCTATTGCAAACGCCGACTTACATAGTATTACACATGTTCTCTCAAGTGCCTATCTCTTGCTGAAGATCAATTCTAACTCGGATCTTCACCGGTATGTTTCATCCGACCCTGAAAACATTAACATTTACAGACCACTAAAGTCAGTTTCAAGTCAACGTAACAACTGTATTTCTTCAAAATATATTCTTTTCAGAGACTAGATGTCAGTCTAGGAACAAGGATGTCGGGTTTTGTCGAAGAGCGTTTTCTTTGTCGATGAGAGCGAATTTTTATTTCAGTAACGGATGTACATTTGTTTACAGCACATATATATTTGTCAGACAATCCTATGATTACGAACAAACATGACATTATCCTTCAACTCAGGTGACATGCATCGTGTCACGCGGTAGTATATATACCTGGCATCTGCCACCGTGCACAGGAGCAATTACTGTGTAACCCGGATGTCCTCATGGAGACAGGTAGGAAAGCGAACTGATGTTCTTCATTGTATAATCTTTCTGGGTTAGATGGTTAAACTGCATTAGAAGATACCTGGTGAAGCGCTGGTTCAGGTAAAGGTCTTGCTTCAGTTCTAGGGTGATATCCATTGAGAAGGTTGTTGTTACAATGTAAACAGAGAAGCAATGAATATCAGCCGAGTTTATTTTCTTTTACATTTTACGCAATTAATTTACGTGAACCATTGCTCATTTCTATTTGTTAAAGGCTGAGGCTGTGTAATGTGTAAAATATACATATTGATTCAATGAATGCTTGGTAAAGAAATATATTTGCAACGCCATACCTCTACCATGTTTAAATGTTTAATTTCTGCAATCATTTCCGATAAAAACAATTGTGGGGTACGATAAACATCCTGAATTAAACGAACAATCTCTTGTCATTTTTTAAAGAGTTATTAAAATAATTTTATTTAAATTCATATAAACGTATAGAAGTTGTGTACAGACAAAGTGATGGTTCAGTTCGTTGTTTACATTTAACATCGTTTTCTCAACACCTTTTCAGTTGAAAATCTAACATAAGATTAAATCAGCTGAGAAATATTATATCGCCTCTTTACTCATCTGTACATGTTAAAATACGCTAATGTGGAAGTGCAGTTACTACTGTAATTATTGGGTTTAGTGTAATTTACATGATGAATGAGCTAAGAATTGATGAATGTTTTTTCAGTTGATAGTTTGTAGCTGTGTCATATAAGCTGAGTGTATAATTAACTTTACTCTGCACGATGGATACAGAGGCTTAGTTGTATAGCGAGGATGGTGCGGGAGCTATTAGGAGTCAAGCCACTATTTGCTATAGACTTCCAATGGACGTGTTTTATACTGCGTGGGTGGTATGGGCATGTAGTAATATACTAGCATGTGGTATAAATCATAAGTTCAGAGCTGTGTCATATAAGCTGAGTGTATAATTAACATTCTACCATGACATCCGATTCACTGCGCGTATTGTCAAACCACTACGCAAGGGTAATGAGTGCATATATAAAATGCGTTTTATTCATGGTGCATATGTCATGGTAGAATGGAGATAATCCTATTGTGTTTACATTTTGAAAGTGATTATAGTTGGTTAAACGCTGCTAAATGAAACATTTAAATCACTTCAAAAACATCCTAATTATTCCTTTATGATTATGTTTTATCAATGTTTCATCAAAAGACATAGGTTTCCTTTGGAATTGATATGTTGTCATAATCCGTTTTGTTGCTTTTTCAATTTCTTTTGTACGACCATGTTACATGACATGGATGTTACTTCATTTATGCTAGGGTTACGCTATGTTCGAGGTTGCCATTGCAGCCAAGTTTCACCGAAACGTAGTGCGCCGTGGGAGTTTGGCCATCTTTACCCTCCAAAGTCAAGTTTTCTTCGGTCCTGCTAAGTTTTCTCACGGTCTATCATGGTATCCGTGATGGGCCGTTGGGATACACGGGCTGCTGAGTCCCGGAAGCTCAAAGACACACTACGGCTGGGCCCGCAGTCCACTACGGATGCCATTGCGTTTCCTCCCGGCAGGCTGTCGCGTTCTGATGGCTTCCGTCACGTTTTTCACGTTTTAATCAAGGTTTTGACACGTTTTGCGCGCTCTGTCAAGACTTTCTTCGGATGAATGTCAGCAGTGGAGCACGGTTGTGCCGACGGTATAAAAATAAGGCTACTCAAGCAATAGCAGCCATTGGATCCCCAGAGACAAGAGCATCATGAACCCCCAAGATGAAGAAGATTTTGTGTTTGTATGTTTGCTGGGGGCATACATTGAGTCCTTACAGGAGTAAATGTGTGCATGTAAAAGAGGCTTTAGTTGTATAGCGAGGATGGTGCGGGAGCTATTAGGAAAGTCAAGCCACTATTTGCTATATTATAGACTTCCAATGGACGTGTTTTATACTGTGTGGGTGGTATGGGCATGTAGTAATATACTAGCATGTGGTATAAATAATACGTTCAGAGCTAGATATGTCTACATATGTGTAAACGCGTGTGTTCACTTGGTAGCCCTCATTGCTTGACGGCGCTTGAGGGCATGCGTATTGTTTGGGGAGTTGAATTCTTAATAGTTATACGAATGAATACCTCTCAATGCAAAATTACTTTGATAAAAATACCAAACGGAATTATATTGTTTTTAGTTGCTGCTTGTGTTGTTGCTGCTGCTGCTACTGCTGCTACTGCTGCTGCTGCTGCTGTTCAACGCAGCAATTAAGTTGATTCGTTGCCCCTAATACATAAACAAGTCTTTCCAGAAATACTGCAGTTAGTGATAATATACGCGCGGGGGCGTGTGGGCCGGCGGGCGTACGGGTGTGGTGGTAGGGCAGAGGGGAAATTCTGCTACCTTGTGACGAGCAAATATTAATCTAGTTAAAAAATCAGATTTAAATTTTACCTAATGTTACACTAAGATCCGGGTGCATAGCGGGTCATGTTAGAACGACCTTCCATACGACATATGGGAGCGTCACTTACCCGGTGATGAACGTGACAGTCGAAACGGGTTTTCTGATCATGCAACTCGGAATGTTAAACATGAGACTGTCAAATAAAACGTTACCTTGAAAAAGACTCGCCCCTATGTGACTGACCAAAAACAAACAAAAGTTTCTTTTTCGATTACAATTTTATTCCCTTAAGCCGAAAGTAACTATTGACGATCACGTCAAGCGTATTCAACTAATTTCTTCACAATTTTTAAATCGTTATTTTTTCTTAAATTTGATATTTTCCTTTGGTGTTGCGGACTGGCATTGCTAGGTGATACTGAAACAGATCGCTAGCAACCAAACGGTGAGGGATGTTAAGGTGAGGGTCAGCTTAATGTACAGAGACACACATTCTGTAAGTGGCATTAGAAACACATTCATTGCACAGGAGTTACACGTGTGTATACATCATGCATAATTTACATTCACTTATTATTTGCTGTTATCCTTTAGTGAGAGGGCACACATACAAGATGACCTTTTGTTGTTTATTTGTGAGTATTTTCAACTTTTCTCAACCACATAATATATACAGCAACGGACGTGTCAGTTGTAAATAACAGTCTGCTGTTTTGAGTTTTTGTTACTACACGCAATGTTTTAAAAGAACTCATTTTGATTTAAAAGTTTGGAACATATTATAAGCAATGACATATTAAACAGACTATTAACGTCACACCTTTCATGTACACGAGTGTCCATTGCCAGCGTAACCACGCACACTGTGTGATATCTATATGTCTGTTCCAGTTCTCCTGCCACACGTCACCTGTACCTGGCCTGGGTTATGGCCCGAGCGTGAGTGCCCTCAACTGACATCCTCTTTAATTATCCAACACGAATCTGTTTCCTGAGTCCGGTTAAATTATTTCAAGAGACCGATGTATTAATTCCAACAGTATTTCAATTGAATTGTCTCTTTATAAAGATAATTTACTTCGAGTTAATGTATGCAGAAGAAATTAAAACGTAAGTTTTGAAAATGTACATATGTTATGATCGTGATATTTGTGTCTCTGTGTATCATATCAATATCAACATAGTCTTTAAGTCGAGTCCACTCACCGACTGCTGGTCCATGTGAACTGAAGTGAGTGAGAGAGGGAGTGAGTGAGTCCTTTAAGGTCGCTGTTAACAATGTTTTAGTTACATCACGGACGTTCCTCCGTGTGTTGAAACTCGCCAACAATCATGGGTATGGTGCTGAAATATCCAGAAAATAATGGGCCTTCCAAAGTTTGACTCGAACCCATAATCATACGTTTCTAGGGGACGTAACTCATCACGTCGGATTATGGGGACATGGACGACTGGGCTATTGATTCTACGTATACCTCGTAGGGAGAACCTGTGCTTATCTGTAGTGTACACAGGAAACGTGTGGTAACTGCACCACAGCATGTTGATCAGCCGTAGGGGCGGTGGGTAGCCTTGTGGTTAAAGCGTTGGCTCGTTACGCTGTAGAACCGGGTTCGATTCCCAACATGGGTACAATGCCTGAAGCTCATTTCTGGTGTCTTCCGCCGTGTTATTGCTGGAATATTGCTAAAAAGCAGTGTAAAGCTAAACTCACTCACTCACTCTGATAAGCTCATGTCAGTCCATGAATACCTCAACTGCAACGCCGTTGGGCCAGGCATACCACACAATACAAAACAATACCGCTGAGTCAGTTCGAGAATATGTGCCAATGCCACTATCAAGATTGAATCCCCAATATATCGAGTCTGTCTTTTTTGCAGACAACCATGAAGATGACTGTCTCGATGTTGCGATCATCGGTGCAGGTATCGGCGGCACATACACAGGCTACCGTCTACGAAACAGGAGGACTGAAACTAGCCATATTTGAGTAATTCGACAGGATTGAGGTCGCATGTTCACAGCTCAGATCCCAACTGTTCCTGGCACGACTGTGGACTTCAAGGGCGATGAGGTTGAATCCAAGGAACACATTTCTTGTGCGTACTGCAAGACAGCTTGACTCAATATTGTTGACTTTCCTTTGAACTACGGCAACCGTAACGAGACTATATACTCATTCCGTGGGCGTCATCTTCTGCCGGATGAACTTGAGGACCAAAGACTCCATACACAACCTGAGGCCCAGCGAGAGACTTCCAGCCCGGTGACCTTCTGTGGTAATATTAGGCTTTACTGAAACCATTTGAGTGACTGAGTGAGTGAGTTTGGTTTTACGCCACACCTCAGCGATATACCAGCTATATGGCGGCGGTCTGTAAATAATCGAATCTGGACGAGACAATCCAGTGATCAACAGCATGACCATCGATCTACGCAACTGGGATACGATGACCTCGCAGTGTCAACCACGTCAGCGAGCCTGACCACCCGATGCCTTTAGTCTCCTTTTACGACAAGCATGGGTTACTGAAGATCAATTCTAACCCGGACCTTCACAGGTTAGAAACCATTTTGAATGAGATTTGCTTAAAACGTGACCTTATGAATGTTATGTGAGGGAATGTAATTATATAAATAGGGAAACTGTAATAAAGAAAGGTAATATATTTCTCTTATATTGTGATGATATAATG